TATATACATATATACATATATACATATATACATATATACATATATACATATACATAAACATATATATATATATATGGTTCCGTGTCGCGTGTCGGTACCCCCCCACCCCCGCCCATGGTATGCACCCGAAAACCTCGTGAGGATCGTCACTTTTCTCTCAAAAGTGACAGCGGTCGCAGGGATGGGCCCCCCGAACCCGGGATCCCCGTGAGCGTTGTGACTTTTGAGCTATGCAACTTCGTGGCGTGTCCAAAGTGGCGACTCTCACCTGGATGGGCCATGGTTTCAGTCTGTGCCGCGCCCAGCTGCTGACCCTCAACCCTAAACCCTTTCATATCTGTACACCTATACACTAAACAACCCCACCACACGCACCACAGGGGGGTATTTATATGTGTATATATATATATATACTTACATTTATTTATTGTTTGTGTGTGTGTGCGTATGTATGTATGCATGTATGTATGTCCTATGAATGCTTCGACATGCCGGTCCCCTGACCTCTCAAGTTCACGGCACGGTCTAAGATTTTTTGTTTAGGTTTAGGGTTTACGGCGTAGAGTTTAGGGTTTAAGGTCTAAGGTTTTTGGTTTAGGGGTTAGGGTGTAGAGTTTAGGGTTCAGGGACTAAGACTTTTGTTTCTTTAGCGTTCAGGGTGTACAGTTTAGGGGTTTAGGGTCTAAGGTTTTTGTTTGTTTAGGGTTGATAGGGTTTAGGGTGTAGGGTTTAGCATTTAGGGTCTAATGGCTTTGTTTGTTTAGGGTCTAGGGTGTAGGCTTTCGGCTTCAGGGCTCGAGGGATTAAGGTTGGGGGTTTCGGTGTTTTGCCAGGTTTAGCTTTGAGATCACGGATATGGGTGAAGTTCATCCTCTACCGCTGGAGTCAAAGCTCCGCAATGATGTTAACAGAGGTGAGCTCGACGTATCGAGCCCCATACCAGTCAATGTCCAAACCCGCGCAACAACTTGAAGCTAGATGTATGGCTGCCGCCCCCAACGATCCCGATCATTTGCATCCTAGGTCAACCCGCTCCGTAATCTTAAAATTCGAACCTTCACCTTGAATCCCAAGCCCTTGTCTGAGCTACCCACTGCTTCAGCACACGTACACAGCACCCGCGCACCCTGCCGAAACTCCAATGAACGGGAAATTAGGGATTCTTGCTTGCCGATTCGGTGTTTCAGGCGTGCGATGTTGTCTTGGGTTTGGGGTTTCAGTTTAGTCTCCTTGCTTCTGCCGGCTCCCTTTCAGGCTCCTCAAGATTGGGTTGGCCTTCATATTCCCGAAGAATACATACACTTTCGGATCTTGAAAGTATAGGCTTCATGGTCAGGCTTTGATCGTGTCCGGAGGCTCCTTGCAGCCTCAGGGCAGTGTTTAGGTATCCAGCTCTACATCCCAAGAAGTCTCAGTTCAACCAGCTTCAGGAAAGGTTTGAAAACTTGAGGGATTGAAGGGATATGGGATTCAAAGATAAGTGTACGTAATTAACCTGCCCTTGTAGTTTCAAAAAATACCCCTTCAGAAAAAGCTGTTCTCATTTTCCAGGCTCCTTCCTGAAATACCCCTCCAGTCCTCTGTAACAGAGCCCTCATGGGCCTTACTTGTGGGTATCTAAGAATACAGACAAATGGGGGGGGCCGACTTTTAAATTACCTTTCAGCTGAGGTCATCGCCGTGTCAGTGGCATCATCGATCAATCGTATAACTAAGACTTCAGCACCCTACACTCCAAAGCGGCAATCCGGAACCTCTCAACCCTAAGACCCCAAAGCCCATATCCCATGAACCCTACAAACCCCGCAAGCCCTAGACCGTACAAACCTTCCAACTCCAAAACCATCAAACTCTACAAACCCTAGGCCATACATCCGGCGCTTTAGATTCCTACAGACCTGAACCTCAACTAACCCCGCCCTTTCCAACGAATCCGGCCCTCTTCTTGCAACTAAGCCCACCCTTTTTGCAACCGAGACCGGCCCTCCCCTTGCAACTAACCCCTCCCTGTTTGCAACTAATCCGGACCTGGGTTTAGGGTTTAGGGTTTCATACGATTCTACACCTGAATTCATCTGTTGCTCAACCGGTGTCTGTTGCAATGAATCCGGTCCTTCCCTTCCAACAGCCCCCTCTGTTGCCGGCCCTCCGGCCCTCCAAGACGACAAGACCTGTGAAGCCTGAGGGGTTCGGGTTTAGGATTTCAGCCTTAAGGTTTAAGTGAAGTAGAATGGTTTCCTATAAATGATATGGGAGTTTCCGAAAATAGGGGACCCTAATATAGTACCCTAAATAGTAGGACCCTTATTATAACGACCCCAAAATAAGGTACCCCTTATTTTCGGAAACTCCCATATGGGAATCTTGGAGCTAAGCTCGAGTAGAAACTGCTGGATCCGAGCTGCTGAACTAAAACCCTAAACCCTGAAACCCGAATCCAAACTGCCCCCAAAAGACCTGGAAACCCTAAACCCTGAAAGCCTCAAGCCCTAAAACCTAAAACCCTGAAGCCCTAAACCAAAAAACACCCCGAAAGTTTCCAGCCTGAGGCATTTCGACATCCTTGCAGTAGCCGAGCGCCAGGCTGCCCAGACGCACCTGTTTTTTTGTTCTCAAGGTTTAGGGTTTAAGGTTTAGGCTTTGGCGTTTAGGGTTTAGGTTTTGGGGCTTACGCTCTAGGGTTTTGGGGTTTTGGGGTTAGGGCTTGGGGGTTCAGGGTTTAGGGGTTTGGGGTTTTGGGGGGGTTAGGGTATACACCTTGAGTCGACTGGTTTAGGGTTTAGGCTCTTTCGGGGCTGAGTACCCTAGCTTAGACAAGGTGAGCCTTGTACATGATAGTAGAAGTATGTATATAAGCCCAAAACCTTAAAGCTTACCGACACAGCCCCCAACGGCTTTACCCTAAACTTTACCCTAAACCCTAAACCCTATACCCTACATCCTAAACCCGAAACCGCTTTAAGGCCTCAAGCCCTGAACCCTGAAACTTCACGACTACACCCTGGACCATGCCTCGTGGGTTCATTTGGTCAAGGCGCCGCGTACCCGTGTAGTACATACCTAGGCCTTAACCTGAGCCGTAAGCCCCTAAACCTTAAACTTTAAAGCCCTAAACCCCTAAACCCTAAACCCTACATCCCCAAACCCTACACTTTAAACCCCTGAACCCTAAAGCCCTAAACTTGCAACCCCTAAGCCCTAAACCCCTACACCAATGTGGTCAAGGCACCACGTTGATCTCTCCCACAATAGCAGTTTCTGTCTGCCCGTCCCCGTGCGGACTGCCGGAGCGATAGCAGCGTTAGGGGGTTTCGGGTTTAGGATTTAGGGGGTTTAAGGTTTAGGGGTTTCGGGCTTATGGGCTTCGGGGGTTTAAGGTTCAGGGGTTTCGGGCTTATGGGCTTAAGGGTTTAGGATTAAGGGGTTTAAGGTTTAGGGGTTTTCTGGCTTATGGGGTTTCAGGCTTAGGATCTAACGGGGTTTAACGTTTAGGGGTTTCGGGCTTATGGGCTTAAGGGCTTAGATGTTTTGAATTATAGCCGGCATTCAGGGCTTATGGGTTTAGGGGCTTGGGGCTTATAGGGTTTAAGGCTTATGGGGTTTAGGGTTTAGGGTTTGCAGCAGGGGTGTGTTTAGGGTTATGGGGCTTAGGGATTATGGGGTCCAGGGGCTTAGGGTTTCGGGTTTGGGTTTAGGGTTTAGGGCTTCGGGTTAGGGTTTTGGGTTTAGGGTTAAGGGTTAAGGGTCAAGGGTTTAGGGCTTGGCATATGCGCACAGGCCCTCAAGGTGAATGTGTTGGCAAAGGCCTTCTGGGATCAAGTTTGGGGTTGATTTGGGATTCAACTTAAGGGGCGTTGTAAGGTACTACTGCGAAAGCGTACTATACTGCATTATACTTTTCTATACTCTACTATGCTATACTGTAGAATACGATATGAGACTATTTTATACTTTACTATACCATATCCTATGCTATGCTAAACTATGATATGTAATATTACCGTCAAGAATCAAGGTAGGTCTCTAAATTAGGCTCCCTTTTAGTATCCTGCTTATAAGGGTGCCGTCCCGTACTACTATGGGGACCTAACCAGGGACTCTAATTTAGAAAACTACCCATCAACATATGTTTGACTCTTTAAGACCTTAAGAACCCAAAACCCACTTTTTTTGTAGGTTCTTATTATAAACCCTAAATTGGGATTTATAGGGACCCTACAAAAAAGTAGGTTTTGGGTTCTTAAGGGAGCTGAACCCATGATCCGGCGACGCGCGCAGGCTACAAGGAAACGCCAGCGGAAGGTCGCCAGCCCTGAGCCCTAAACCATAAACCCTTTAGGGGATTAGGGGTTTAGGGTTTAGGGTTTAGGGTTTAGGGTCTAGGGCAAACCGTACAAGCCCTAAGCAACCCTAAAACCTAACCCGTAAACCCTAAACCTTGAAGAGACACGAATGACTAGTGACGACCCCGACTTAATAACTCAGGCAAGCGACTTAGTCAGTCTGGACGCAGATATCTTAACTAATGTCGAGGACTTAATAATTATAACAGAGCTTTGAGGTATATTATACTATAGTTATAATAAGGAGCACCAAAAATAGTATGGGTAATTATTAAGGCCCTATATTATGGATAGAACTATCTTAACTAGGCTTGTAACCAGTCAGCAGTGTTGATGTCCTGTCTACTGAGTCTACTACCTACTTACTTGCCTTTTATCATCTACAATTTACATCGGTGCTCAAAACGCACGAAAAGCAACATACAGAGGAGACATCTCAAATATTAAAGCAAACTTATGCAACCCTAAACCTGTGCTTATGTCCTTTTGGGACCCTACCTGCCAGCCCCTGACTAGGGCCCCAAAGCAAAACTTAGGATCCGGATATCCGATATAAATCCCCTTATAATGAAGCCCAATAAGGTAGGGATATCCCTATAAAAAGCTTATGCTTATGTGCTTTTTGGGGCCCTGACTGACTGAAGCTCACATGCCCTCCTCCACAGCGGAATCTCGAGCGGCTGCTGCAAAGCACGCACAGGTAGGCGCTGGTGGACGCTAAGCCTTGGAAGGCTGTGTCTGAAAACTCTTAAGGCTTTCGGGTTTGGAGCTTATAATGTTTCGGCGTTTGGGATTTGGAGTGTGGAAATGCTACTAAAGTTTGGGTTTAGGGTTTAGGGTTTAGGATTCGCCAAGTAAAGGCACGGTTCGAAGGATTGTTGAGGAGGTTTTCTGCTGGGCTGCAGGGCTTTTTAGCAGGCTCCCTGGTCTAAGAACTCTACCATGGTTTAGGGTTTAGGGTTTAGGGTTTAATCTTCTAAGAGATCATAACCTACCCCCTACCCTACACCCATACCCTAAACCCAAATCCTCAACAAAGATGTGTTTGTGCCTTTTTGGTGTGTGGCCCTCAGAAGGGTCGGGGACCCCAGGCTGGCAGATTCCGGGGAGTGCCGCCCTTCCGGGGGCCTGGGGAGGTACCCACTATTTTAAGAACCCAAAACCCACTTTTTTGTAGGTTCTTATTATAAACCCTAATAAGGAATTTATAGGGACCCCACAAAAAAGTAGGTTTTGGTAGGTTAAGGTATAACCCTAAATGAGAATCGTTGGGTTGGTTGGGGTCGGACCACATGCTGACGCAAGCGCGCGATAAGTGGGCGCGCCCCTGTTCCTGAAGTACAAGACGCACCCACCGCGCGCACACTGTATACAGACCCTAAACCTAAACCCAAAACCTACGATTTGGCAGCGTTTGGAATGCAGAGGTTGCAAAATCATGTGGGCTGGAGGGGTTCAGCTTGCCCCAAGGCTCCATGTACCAATACTATATATATATATATACATACACATGAGCCCTAGAGTACCTGTAATAGGGGCCCCTTTGAGGCCTAAGTATATACTATATAGGCACATGGAGTCTTGGGGCTACGAGACGGGCCTGGGAGAGTCCGGCACTAGGTTTCGTAGAGTTCTCCGCCACATCCAAGTACATTCGGAGCATAGCTAGCTCGTGGAGCGCTATTCCGGTTCCGAAAACAGGTTGAGGCTTTGACTAAGGGTTTCGGATTTGCGGCGTAATTATATGCTTCTGCCTCAAGGTTTGATAGGATTCCGGTGCAAAGAGCAGGGTTCAGGGTTCTAAGGTTCAGACAACAGGGTCCTGGTGTGGGCTTGGGCGCGTTTCATCGGCTTCTAAACTTGGATCGTCAGGTGGTCTAGCGCGGCGGTTCTACTCATGGGCTAAACCCTAAACCCCTAAACCCTAAACCCTAAAGTTGGGATTCGGGATTGAGGTTTCGAGGATGTTCACGGCAGTGATATGGATCTCGCAAAAGCAGCAGCTGCCAGGACTCGCTAGAAAAAAAGCACTCCCCCCACCCCCCACCCGCACCTTATGAACCTGTTGAGCCCTAGTTTATGCAGAACTCTAAACGCCCCCAGGCCCTAAACCCTCCGGAGCACCCAGACGTAGCCGAAAGTGACGAAGCAAAACGACACGCCCCCAGCGTTTAGAAGACCCGCCGCAGAATCTTTGAGTTTTTGTGGGATAGTCATCAAAGTCGCAATTTGTTGCGAACCAGGGCAAATAACCCTGAACACTAAACCTATTGATTTCGAAGGTGTTGCCCTTTACACTCTTGAAGTGTCATGACGGAGAATTTAGGGTGACACCCATGACCTATAGTCAACGTTTAGGAGAAACCCAAAAAACCCTCTACGTCTTTACAGATCCCACTCCCACGTAGAATCCTTTTAGATCCCTTTAAATTGAACCCTCTGTTACCTTGCGGAGCTCCAATGCCCCTAAACCCTAAACCCTAAGCCCTAGACCCTAAACCCTAAATGCGGCTCGGGAAACTTGCCGGCCATTTGGAAAACAGCGAACATTCTCTCTGCCGGTGGCAGAAAGCGTGATCCTGTCCAACTTCCATCCTTCGCCACGGTTTAGGGTTTAGGGTTTAGGGTTAGGGTTTAGGGAAGACTTCAACTCTAAAAAGGGTCCATATATCGAAGTTGTAAGGGTTCCTCAAGGGTTCCTGCAAAGTAAAATTGTAAAGGTGCCTTTAAAGGTTCCTGCAAGCCCTATAAACCCTAGACAGAAGCCTAAGCCCCTCTGTGGATATGCAATATCCAATTTCTTCCTAATCGCTTAATAAGCCAAGACTCTGATTCTGAAGCGGGGCCCCGCATGCAATCCCTTATTAAATGCATCCGTAATACAGGGGCTTTGCTAATTACCTATACTACCTTGGTGGTGCCTTACTATAATAACAGTATATACCCCAAAACCCTATTCTAACTGTTAAAGCCCCTACATTAAATGCTCGCCTGAACGCTGTTGTGGAATCCAATCCCAAGGGCCGTTTCTCCTAGGTCGTATTAGGGAGACCCCTTAGCGGGGACCCTTCTTAACCCTACTTCTGGCTCTGTCAAAAAGGGACCTTATGGAGAGGGTCTATATCCCCAAGGGTCCCCCTAATCCTATAAGCCCTAGTTTCAAGAATCTCGACTTCTCTTGAACTGCCTGCGTCTGTTGGATCCGATGGCCGATCTTGCTTATGGAGTCATGTATACCTCCGATTCGGGTGCAGTTCGGATGCGAAAGGAGTCGGGGTACAGGGTTTGAGGGGTGGGGGGGGGGCGGGTATTCTGCAGATTGGCGTTCAGGTTTTAGGTCCTCGAGGACCAGTCTCTAGGAGTTTAGAAGCATGACTGGAATCAGAGTGGTACTTCCATGTATTCAATTGTATTCGTACGGTATATACTTAGGGCCCCAATTAGTCCTTGATGGGCACGTTAGGACCCGAGTAGATGCCATAAAGTAATTCTGACACTAGGATTTGGGGCTTCTGCATCCGATGCAGTCCTTGAACTCAAGCGGGAGCGCTTGCGAGAAGTTGTCCACAGAGAGGAAGACGCATACCTGGCTTGTCCCAAGTTGCACTTCTGCGAACCCCTAAACCCTAAAGACTTTATAACCGCTAAGCCCGAAACCCATGCACGTTCCCAGACTGTAAATCCAAAATCGCCAAATCCTTCAATCCCCAAACTCCGGAATTCTGGAAATAAACCCTAAACCCTAAGCCCCAAACCCTTCATCCCCAAATCCCGGAATTCTGAACCTCGAGCCCCTGAAGATGCCACCGAGGACACCTCGAAGGCGGGAGTCTCCACGCCAGGCAGGGGCAGATCCACCACAAGGTCGTCTGTTAGAACCTCAAACTCCACCTGCAGCGATGGTCTCTGCATTTTGTGGCTTTCGGGTTAGGCGCGCAGAGTCTGGTTCAAAGCTCTTCGAGTCTTGGCGCTTAGATCTGGCGTTTTTTAGTTAGGCTTGGAGGTGCAGCTTAAACGTAAGTATGTAGTAAGGTCTATAGGTGGTCTGTACCCACAACCCAACAACATGCCCAAAAGCCTGCGCTTGAACCCTAACCTGCAGATCCCGAGCCGTTGCTTCTCCGACACAAGGCCTTTGCAGTTCTTGATCACCAACCCGGGTCGGTGGGTATGAGTTGTACGTTTCAGGAGGTTGGGATTCCGTGGCGCACGCTACAAACCCAATCCCTATGGTTTCTGGGCTTCGAGGGTGCAGATACTGGGTGAACGCCAAATTGCAGCTCCTGCATGCTCCCATTACTGTTAACGGATCCAAGGTGTTTTGGGATGCAAGTTTATTGGATGTGGCCGACATTACGTAAGTCAAGGGGTTCGAATGGGTCGAAGTCTTGCGCGTTGCAGGGCTTGGGTCTGCAGAAATACTCAGGTTCTCAAGTTACCTCAGTTGCTAAGATATGGGCTCCAAGATGTGCTCTGTTCTGGTTTTTGCACGCAAGGAGACAAACTGGGTGCATCTAAAGCTCTGGGACCAGGAGTCAGAGCCACTAGTGACGCTGGCACGTACACCGCCCGTTCGTCTTGCTGTCTACAAGCCAAAGAGACAAGCAGATTTCAGTAGGGGCTCAATTTTGCAGGAAATCCTGGTCCTAGCGAAACCTGCCGTTCTTGGGAGAAGATGGACCGGGCAAGAAACCGGACAACTTAGCAATTCAATCCCTCAACTCGGTGCACTTCGATCAGAATGTTCGGGGTTTCCTGAGGTTGCAGACTGATTTCACACGAACAGTCGTCCACAGCGGGACACCTTCCTCCAGGCCCAAAGCCCAAAACCCAAAACCCTACAAACAACTCAGCCCTTTCTAAAACCCTAAACCATCAACCCCACAACCTACACTCTAAACCCTGACGAGTGGCCTTCACCCACTCGTTGCAAAGACGGCAGTTGGTGTGCTTGGAGTTGAGGCCCTCCTGCACGGACGAAGGTCTCCCCAGACAGAAACATAACGTACCCTAACCTTAAAACCCCAAACCCTAAACCCCTATAAGATCTGGGCTTTCGGTTGTGGGGCATTGTAGGGGTTAGAGGAGTCGAGTTAATGGAGGTCTTCCAAACAAAAACGGGTCCAAAGGACCGATCACTGGTGCTTGGGCGTGACACGCGACACACCGTTCCGCTACTAAATCACGCATCCGAAGCCCTGAACGCCGAAACCCATAAGTTCTAAACCTCCCCAATGAGGCCTTGCATCCTCATCCTACACCTAAAATTAAAACCTTAAACCGCTATAAAGCCCTAAAGCCCGCATCCTCAACCTCTCCTTCCCGCCGTGCAAGTACAACTCGCCGTGCGTTCGCCCAGCCGTCTTCGCTTTCAGGGATGCAGTGACCTGGAGGGGGGACCCAGTGAGCAGCTAAACTCATTTACTGTAGGTTGAGTGCCAGTTTAGGGTTTAGGGCCCCATACTGCTAAACTGGATAATTGTAGGGGCCTGACATGAGTTCTTCCGATGGGGTTTGGGAGTATATGTTGCATTGTGTTGTAGCTGAATAAGCTGTGATGTTAATGCTATAGTTATTCCGACGTCCAACTTAGCTCATGTTGTTCGCTACCCTATAGAGATGTCTTGAAAGTATGCAATACAGAGGGCCTTGGCAATTGGTGTCTTGGGCTTCGCCTTTAGGACTTTAGGCCTTACTTAGCATCTCGGGTTAGGTCTGTGGCGTCAGAGATTAGAAAGTTCAGGGTCCCTTTGCGCATGCAGTATTTGGCCTTAAAGTGGCCTATAGAGCTCCTATATAGGCACTTTAAGGCCAAAGTAAGTATATACCATTTGAATACATGGACCCTTATGCGCTTTTGGGGTGCAGAGCTTGTGCTCCATGCGGTGTAAGTGCAGGGTCCATCTATGCATGCTCCACGCAAGCACTTTCAGCGAGAGCGCGAAAGCAAACACACTCGAATCTATGGGTCCTGATACTCGAAATACGGTTTTGGGGTATAAGGAGAATCGCAGTATAGTTCTATAGGGACTATGCCGGCAAACTCCCACGAGAGTTAAAGCCCTGAACCCAGCCTAAAGAGCCTCGAACCCGGCATTAGACGTTAGCCCCCAAAAAGGCCTAATTCTTAAGCCCTAAACCTAAACCCCAAACATTTCAAATCTTAAGTTTGAAATCACGACATCAGGGGTTCTGCGAGGCTCTTAAGAATCTCCCACGGCTCCAAGCTCCAAAAGACAACCATAGACTTGCCGAGGGCACACCTAAATCTCTCCAGCCCTAGGCCAGAAAGTTCTTGAAACCCATGAAACGTGAAACGGTGGATCTTAAAACAGGAGGTTTAGGCCAAAAAAAGCAGTATGATCACCAAAGCCCTAGACCCCAAACCCGACCTGGACCCTTAAGAACCTCCCCTTCTTAGGGCACCTTGTTATGATTTCCTTTTATATAAGTCCTTAAAAAGGTAGGTTCTTGGGAGTCTAACTCCAACTAAACTCTGCAGGAGCTCCAACCTCTGAACCTGAAGAAAACCAACCCAACCAGGACCCTCCCTGTACTCTCAAACAGGGGTTCTGGTTTAGGGTTTAGGGTTTAGGGTTTAGGGTTTAGGGTTTAGGGTTTAGGGGGGGCATATCCCTAAGGGTCCACAGGACCCAATAATTAGGTACGTTGGCTACGGACAGTAGTTATCTAGGTTAATCTTTGGGAGAGTATATGACATATGATTATTTGGTTAGGGCATAGTCCCAAATTAACTGGTATTTGAGGGTCTTATAGAGGGTAGATGGAGGGCCTAGGAAACAGGAATTCAACACTTGCCACAGCAATAGGAATCCTTAAGAGAAACATGTCAATGGCCCTGAAGGAGCCCTGATAGGAACCCCATGGACTCTATGTCAACGTGTCAATTCACTCCTTGAAAGGCTTGAAATGAACAACAACCCTGCATCCCAATCCCTCAGCCATAAACCCCAATCCCTAACAATCCTATTTCCCTCAGCCCTAAACTCTAAACCTTAAAACTACCAAAACCTACTCTCTTGTAGGTTCTTATTCTATACCCTAATATAGAATTCATAGGGACCCTATAAACAAGTCGGTTTTGGTAGGTTAAGGTAAACCTAAACGGTAAACCTAAACGGACCTAAACCCTGAACCCTAAACCCTAAACCCTGAACCCTAAACCCTAAACCTAAACCCCAAACCCTAAACCCTTTAGGCCAAAACAAAATCTTCACCGACCTCGGGTTTCGTTTCCAGGGCCAGTGACTGAATCATCTCGTTCTGAAGCGGGGTTTAGGGATTAGGGATTCGGGTTTCGGGGATTAGGGATTAGGGTTTCGAGGGGTTTAGGGGTGTAGGGGTTTAGGGTTTTGGGTTCGATTAGGGTAGGGTTAAGGGACTGGGGTTTAGGGACTTTCGGGTTTATGGATTAAGGTAGGGTTTAGGGGTGAGGATTCAGGGCTTGGTACATAGGGTTTAGGGTTAGACAGACTTTTAGGCAGGGGGCAAACCGTGCACAGGGTCTAGGACTTTGGGGTCTTATGGCTTATCAGTAAGGCTTATCAGTAATTGGGGTCTAGGGTTTAGGATTTAGAGTTTAGGGTTTAGGGTTAGTAACTGGAGTTTTGGTGTAGGGGCTGGGGTGCCAATGTACTTATGTACCCTGACTAGGGTCCGAATGGTCCTCAGTAGTGGGTATTCAGGGTTTAGGGTTTAGGGTTTAGGGTTGATTGAGGGTACATATAAACGTTGAGGACCCCGGTTTCTAGCTTGTCAGACTGCTGCGTGTTCCGAAATTCAAGGCTTCGTGGTTGATGCAAGGTTGTTCCTGTCCCGGAATACAAGCCACCCGGTGAAACGGCGGCCCTGGCATTCGCGCTGCTAATCGCCTGTGTCTGCGATTGCGCCTGCGCCAGGCGCGTCCTGAAGACGGATGCCTGAAGCACAAAGCTACGTTCGCGCCAGTGCGTCCTACTGCGGACAGCAAGGCCCTTTCCTCCTCGTCCAAAGCGGCCATCGCGCGATTGAAATCCTCCGGAGCCCAGCGGATGCAGCCGGCGCGGTGGGCGCTGCTGGCTCGACCGGCATTGCCGCCCAGGCTGGTACAGCTGGCTCATGAAGTCACCAGACCTAGCACTTCCTGCTCAGGACAGCTTGCAATTGCGCCCACGCTGCACGAAGGTCGCGGCATCTCTCCGCATCCCCTCCCTTGTCGGGGTGCCCAGCCGTTATGGTCTTCCTTTTGTGCCAGACGACGACAATTCGCGAATGTTATGACCCTAAACCTCCTGACGCTAAATGCCTGAGCCATAAGCAGGCATTATAAAGCTCGTTTACCCTTCATTATAAAGGAGCCTTTAAATCCCCCCGACCTTCTGAACTCCAAATGCTTAAACTCGAAGACCTATATAAATCCCTGAGCCCAGAACCCTCATTGAAGAAACGCTCAGTACAAAGCCCGCAAAAGGAAGCCTGAAGCGAACTTCTTGAACCCCAAACTCTCCATTACGCAACCCTGTATGTAAGTTAGGGCTTACCGATCACGACTTGGAGCTTAAGATCCAAGGTCTCGTATATACCCTAAACCCTAGACCTTAAACCCTAAACCTTAAACCCTAAACCCTATAAAGTAGAAACCCTAAACCCTGAAGCCCAAACCTCAAACCCTCAACCCTTAACGGAACCCCGAAAGGGTCCTGGCTCCGGGGGCTCAAGGCCTGACCGGGAGGACGCCTCTCGCGGTCTTTCGGGTGCTTGGGGGTCTACCTTAAACTACCCATCCCCTAACCCCCCATTAACCTACTATATAGGGTATTAGAGACCCTAAGGCCCTATATGATCCCGGTTCGGCCG